GGCTCACATCTGTAATCCTAGCACTTTGGGAAACCAAGGTGAAAGGATTGACTGAGCCCAGGGGTTCAAGACCAGACTGGCCAATTTGGCGAGACCTCATCTCTACAATAAATCAAAAAATTAGCTGGGCGTGGTGGCTCATATCTGCAGTTCCAGCTACTTGGAAGATTGAGGTGAAAGGATCACCTGCGCCCAACAGGTCAGGGCTGCAGTGGCCAAGTGTGCCACTGTACTCCAGCCTGGGTAACAGTGAGACATCGACTCAAAAAATAAATAAAAATTAAAATTAAAAAATTAACAATAGTCTTGGACAGGTATAAAATTTGATTTAGTGGGGTATGAATTTTTTTCTTAAAGCGGGATTTATTGAGAGGACGGAAAAGCTCCCAGGGCAGGAGTGGACTCGAGGGGGTTGCCCAGGAGTATTCGAGACCCACCTGGGCAACTTGGTGAGACCTCATCTCTACAATAAATTAAAAAAATTAGCCGGGTGTGGCAGCGCGCGCCTATAGTTCCAGCTACTTAGAAGGCTGAGGCGGAAGGATCGCCAGAGCCCAGCAGGTCAGAGGCTGTGGTGGCCGGGAGCAGCCACTGCACTCCAGTCTGGCAAGAGAGTGAGACTCCAACTACAGTGGAATATCATGCAGTTATGAAAGTATCAATGAAGGACATGTATACTCAGGACATAAGACTAAATAAAGTGTGCATGACAAAGTTGTTTTGTTTTGAGTCTGTCTCACTGACACCCAGGCTGGAGAAACAGTGGTTCAATCATGGCTCATCATAGCTTTTGACCTCCTGGACTCAGGCAATCCTTCCATCTCAGTCTCCTGAGTAGATGGAACTATAGGTACTTGCCACGATGCCTGGCTAATTTTTTCATTATTTGTAGAGATGAGGTCTTGCTATGTTGTCCAGGTTGGTCTTGAACTCCTGAGCTCAAGCAATCCTCCTGCCTTCACTTCCTAAAGTGCTAGAATTATAGGAGTGAGCCACCATGCTCTACTGGAGACAAAGTCAAGTGTATTCTATAGTTGCAACTGTATTTACAATGCACCCACGAGGATCAAGAGACAGAAGACAAAATGCAAAAAAAAAAAAAAATGTATAGCTGGGCACGGTAGCTCAGCCTGTCATCCCAGCATTTTGGGAGACCGAGGTGAGTGGATTGCCTGAGCCCATGGGTTCGAGACCAGCCTAGGGAACTTGGCTAGACCTCGTCTCTACAATAAGTAAAAAATTAGCCGGGCATGGTAGCACATGCCTGTAGTTCCAGCTGAGGCAGAAGGATCGCCTGAGCCCAGCAAGTCAAGGCTGTGGTGGCCGTGAGCATGCCACTGCCCTCCAGCCTGGGTGACAGTTGTGAGACTACAACTCAAAAAAAAAATTACTTTGTTAAGTCAGTGGGATACTGGGAATTTTTTCTTATTTTATTCCCAAATGTTTTTACATGTACTTTCTTTAGAGCAGTATTTTTTGTCGAAAGTTAAAATCAGGTCCTAAGTAGCTATATAGAACCACAGGATTTTGGAGTTGGGAGAAACCTCAGAGATCAGGTATCCTTCCTACCTTACATTAGGAACCTGAGGCCTTGTGAGGGTTCCCAGGGCCCCAAGCTGCACAGTTAATTAGTGATGCTGTTTTGCTTCACTGGAGCTGCACCACTAATACGTGTAAATGGCCAAAAGGTGCTAGCCAGTCACAGTGACTCATGCCTGTAATTCCAGCACTTTTGGAGGCAGAGACGAGAGGATTGCCTGAGTTCAGGAGTTTGAGACCAGACTGAGCAACATGGTGAGACCTCGTCTCTACAATAAATCAAAAAATTAGCTGGGTGTAGTGGTACATGCCTGTGGTTGCAGCTACTTAGAAGGCTGAGACAGAAGGATCATCTGAGCACAGCAAGTTAAGGCTGTGGTGGCTGTGAGCGTGCCACTGTACTCCAGCCTGGGTGACAAAGTGAAACTCCAACTTGAAAAAAAAAGGTGCTGAGCAGCTGCTCCGTCTGGACATGAAAGCATCGTGCCCTGAGAGAGCTGCTGTTTGCAATGTTTTGTAGCACGCCTTCCCAGTTGAACAGGTCTCTTAGCTCACTTGGGCTTATGTTACTGCATCTTCAACAGCAGGCTTCTGAAGTTCTCATACCTCACTCCAGTACAATGCTTCGCATGGCAAATGCCACAGAGAATTAGTAAGAATCACTGAAGGACAGGTTACAACCTCCAAGGAGTCCACAAAATGAGTCATCCTACACCTCCAGCCTCGGGTGGGGCCAGCCTCTTCCTGCCTTTTCCACACAAGGTTTGGACATAAGGTGGCCTGCTAAGCCTGCATTGCCAAAAATACAGGCTGGCAGTAAATACTGCCCCAAATGAAATCACAAAAAAATGAGCATCATTCTCTGAAATGCATGTTTCCCCCTCCTCTCCTCTCAACGGTCCAAAAGGAAGCATCACAAAGTGAGCCTCTGCCATAATATCCTTTAGGGGATGGGGTAGAGGGATAAGAAAGTTGAATTCCAAGTGGGGAAAGAAAAGAGGCTAGACCAAATACCACCTATTCCCCTTCGAGAGTGAGGAAAAGGAGAAAAAAACTGGACAAAGGGTAGGAAAACACCAGAAACAGCAATAAAACAAGCTGTCGTTAGAATTTATGAGCATAATAGAAAAAAGTCATCTACTTCAAAGATCTAAAATCACATACCAATCAACCTTGCGTCAAAAGATCTAAAAGAACAGAGAAGCAAAAAGCAAATGAACTCACATAAATACATTTAAGTTGGTGCTACCATAAAATGCCTCTGCTGAGTCCCACAATAACTTCAAAGTCTCCAGGGAAGGTAAGAGAGGCCAGGGGCTGAGATGAAGGGGCTGCCTTCTCTAATAGGATGGCAACATGGTGCTAAGTCATAACAGATCCCAGGAAAAGGAAAAAGCCAGCACATGCCCTTGGAGATCAAAAGCAGCGTGTTCGGTGAACATCATGCCACAGAGGAGAGACACAATACCCAGACAGAGCCAGGAAAAGTGAGGCGAAAACCAAGAGGCATCTAAGGATAGCGCAAGGCCTGTGACTCAGAGGCTGCTGCCTCCTGGGGGCGCAGTGGAAATAAACCTGGCAGGAAGTGTGACATATGCCACAGGGAGGCTAAGCCAGGAGGACGGGGAGGGAGAGACAGGCCCACACCACTGCCCCAGTTCGGCGGGAGCAGGAGCTGTTTAGTCAGTTGCAGCACATTTTACCTAGACAGACCTACTTTTTGCTGGAGGACCCACTTGGAAAAACAAGCAAATTATCTAAGCGATCGCCATCCTTTATGCACCCTGTGGATTCAAGAAGTGAGCCTCCGAGTTGACACCATGTCCATGTGGAAGCTGTCTTCTCAACACTTAGAGCTAATCCATCCAGGGAGGAAATACACACTTCTAGATTAAAATCTAGAGTTCAAGCACCCTATCTTACCAGCACACACTTAGGCGATTTCCTAGAAAAGCCCACTACGGCATGCTCCTTCCTTTTCTGTCGTTCTGGGAGCAGTGCCTGGCTTTTGGCAGCTCTGGGCCTGTGTTAGTGCTACGTGGGCTGTTTCTACAGGCTGGTCTAGGAGAGGGCCTGAGGGCATGATGGCAAGCAAATGCTGGACCACATTCACAGCTTTCATCCCTAAAACTTTCAACTCTGGTTAAAAAAGCAAATCATACAGATTCATCTTTATTCCAGAGACAGAGGCTCAGACTTTGTACATGAAGAAAATTCCCAGGAAAGTCAATATAATAAGCAATAAATTTTTGGCCTCAAAAGAAAAAAAACTTAAAAAAAAAAAAAGAAAGCCAAATAGAACCATAGAGCCAAAAAGGGAAATCTGTGCTTTAAGCATTTCAATTTGGAAAGCAATTACAAATCTTCTAGAAATTTAAATGAACTATTATAGACCAATTTGTTTAGGATATTTCTAGTCTACCAGAAACTGTACACACAAAAAGTTACTTTTATTTTTAAAATTTACACCAGTTTCAACCAATAGCAAAAAAGGTGAGAGCCTATCTTTGAACTCACCCACCACCTCCACCTTGGCACAAGGTTGAGGGAAGGAGAATTAAACACAGAGACAGATCAAGCACCCGGGTTAATCAACAGAAGTGTTCTGAAACATATTTGGTAAGACTGACATCAAAAAATGTCTAGAATAGGTCATAGAGGCTCAAGATAAAACCTACAGAGTAATTCTCACCCTGGAAAAACAACTGGTTGAAAAAACCAACTGACATGCGCCCTTTACAAAGTTACCTGTACCTACTTCAGAAACGGGCTCAATAGCTCCTAGAGCTTACCTGTTTCCCATGGGATGGACGCTGAATGTCTTTATCTGAATTACGACCGTCTGCACAGCACGTCATACCCTGTCTATCAATAAATGGCGGTCCTCACTCCCATGTCCCTCAGCGTACACATGTCTGTCCTCACCTTGGATCCCTGTGTACATGAGTCTATCCTCAACCCTGTATCCCTCCACATACACGTGTCTATTCTCACTCCCGTGCCCCTCAGCGTGCATGTACCTCTCCACATCCCTGCATCCCTCGATGTACATACATCTATCCTCACCCCCACGTCCCTCAGCATACATGTGTCTGTCCTCACTCCCATGTCCCTCAGCATACATGGGTCTGTCTCCACCTTTGTGTCCCTGTGTACACGTGTCTATCCTCACCCCCAAATCCCTCAGCATACATGGGTCGATCCTTACTCTTGTGTCCCTCAGCATACACAGGTCTGTCCTCACTCCCGAATCCCTCATGTGTAATTAGGTCACCTCCCTACCTGAGGCACTAATTCCATTAGTTCACTATACTTAGTGCCTCACCTTGGAAAGGGAGACCGTTGCCAGGTTTCCTGCTCCCTCAGCATAGGAGGGTTCACATGACACACGTGCTCTCTCATGCAAGTCCCAGGGAATGCGTGCCCTTTGGGGCAAGGCAGTTATTCTGCCTCCAACTCACATGTCAGGCAGACCAGCACAGTGCGCACGAACAGGTCCACCACTAACTCGCAGTGCTCGGGTGCCCGGGCCACGAAGAACGGGATGATGATCTCAGCCGGCACGTAGAACTGCAGCGCGTAGGTGAAGAAGATCCCGATGGAATACAGCAGCTTCACCGACTGGTACAGCCTGCCGAGAGGGTGGGACACGTTCACGGCCTGCTCAGCACGGTACTCATGGTCAGTCAGCGTGTACAACAGGCCCATGGCCATTGGGCGACACCTATCACAGTCACTAAGGCACATGGCCTTCAGACCCAGCAATTTCATGTCTAGGAATTTATCTCGCAGACAGACTTGACCACAGGCACAAGAGCTTACATCCATAATATTTCACTGCAGCACTATTGAAGAAGGAAAGACTGAAAGTAATGTCAATTTTAACCAACAAAGAGTGGTTGAGATAAATCACAGGATCCCACACAGCTCTTAAAATATATGAGGCAAGCTGGGTGCAGTGGCTCATGCCTGCAATCCCAGCACTTTGGGAGGCAGAGACGAGAGGACTGCCTGAGTCCAAGGGTTTGAGATCGGCCTGGGCAACTTGGTGAGACCTCGTGTCAGGAAAAAAAAAAAATTAGCTAGACGTCTGCGGTTCCAGTTACTTGGAAGGCTGAGGCGGAAGGATCACATGAGCCCAGCTGGTCGACGCTGCGGTGGCCATGAGCGTGCCACTACACTCCAGCCTGGGTGACAGAGTGAGACTCCTACTCAAAATAATAATAATAATAACAACAACAACAACATATGAGACAGAACTCTAGGTGCCAAAGTAGAACTATCTCATGAGTGAAACAAGCACAAAGCAATACAGTATCTATAGAGTCTATAATTTGTCTAGAAAGAAGAAAAAGAGAGAAAAACCACCCTAAGCTTCTCAAAAGCAAACATAAGAAACTGGGAATCTGGTTGCCTCTGAAACAGAAAATTATAAAACTGGGAACTGGGGTGGAGGTCAAGGCTGAACATTTAATGTTCTTTGTACACCTTCTGAAAATCTGAATCTTTGCCATTGGCATATGGATGCATATGCTTTCAAAAATAAAACAAATTAAAAATACAATTAAAATGTAGCAAGCCTACTTGTATCCTTCCCATCCGAGCCTGCGTGCCCAAGAATCTGATGTGACCACACAAGACCAAGAGACAGGAGCAGAATCATCCTCTACGTTCCACGATGGCCCCTTCCCCCCACCACTCCATGAAGCAGCCTCCAAGATTGTTCACCCTCTGTGGCCTATCCCTAGCTTATCACCCCAGGGCCCCAACTGCACAGATAGGAAAAAGTCTGTGATCAAACAGTACTGACTTGGCCCTTAAAGAGTTACCCTGCCTCTAAGCAAAGCTCTGTTCAAGTCAGACATGTTCAGCAGCAAGAAACTTTTGGCCTCCCTTGTTGGGAATCTGTCTAAATGTGGTCATCTAGTCATAGTGTGTGCATAATGTACACTGAGTTTCCCTGTGGCTGGCCTTAAAGCACAGAAGATGTTCTTATGCTATATGCAGAACACTCTGGGAAAGACTGAGTTTGGTCAAAGGTCTTACTTGTTCCAGGAATAAATAATAAAAAGTCTTTGGAAAAACCAGCTGCTGGCTCTATAATTAAACTCAGAGCAGCCCCAAAGCCCTCTGCAGTGCTGTGGAGTCTGGAAACAGGAGAGTGACACCTGCAGGGACAGCCAGATGAACTGCCCCTGAATAGAGGCAGAAAGATCAGAGCAGCTAGCTGGGCTTGGGGTATCAGGAAAGAAGGCAGATGCTCGCCTATGCTCCGATCACATGGGCTGCTGCTACGCTCCTGATTCTTCTTTTTAATTTAAAATGTTTTAAAATATTTTATTTTAAAGATGTGTGGTACAATTCAGGGTCAGATTTTTTATCTTCCGGAGGAAGGTAGCAGCTACACCAAGCTGCCTCCTGCCGTGTTCCTCTTGGAAGGGCAGGACCTTTGGAAATGTAAAGCAGGCACCAGATGGATATGCCCATGACCCTGATCCTGACTCAAACATTACACGCGGTACACATGTACTGAAATAGCACGTGTACGCCTTAAATAGGTAAAGTTATTATGAATAGGCTTAGAAAGAATTTTAAAATAATTAAAAAGTAAAAGCAGGTACCAGAGACAGACTTTGAAAGCAATGGCCCATTTCAGGGCTCCCTTGGCTGACTGTGCAGCAAACGGAATCCCCAGACCCTGCTGATGAGGGTGTCCCTTGGTAGACTTTGACACTACTGAATAAGAATTATTCTCAACATCCTCAATCTCACCCCACCAAAGTCTCAGTGACCAGAGTTCTAAAAAGCACACTGAGGTCTATTCCATACCACCCTGAACGTGCCTGATCTCATCTGATCTGGGAAGCTAAGCAGGGCCAGGCCTGGTTAGTACTTGGGTAGGAGACTGCCTGGGAATACTGGCTGCTGTAGGTTTAAAATAAAATAGAATAAAAAGCACATCCAGGCAGGACTGAAAGGTCATTCTGCTCCCGGGCACTCTGCAAGCTTCTCGGCGTCTACTCACAGCTGCTCTCCACAATGAGATTGTTAATCTTCAAAACAGCATGGCTGCTTAGCACATGCCGAGACTTGTGTCTTTTCAGGAGCCTTTCCATATGCCTCCGAGTTTCCCTAGAACACATCCACCAGTGCAAGTGAGGTGCAAAGGACTCCTGCACCCCCCTGGCATGGTCAGAGGCTCCGCTGCACAGACTGTGACTGCCAGGGAGAACACACTGACACAGAAAACCAAATCCAGGTTTGTCCCCCTCTGCCTGTCTATTTGGTTTAAGGTGAATGGACTGGACACTGGGCCCTTTTGGGCTCAGGATTTCCAAGAAGAAATGGCTGGCTGGACATATGGCTTATGCCTATAACCTCGGCACTTTGGGAGTCTGAGGCAAGAGGATTGCTTGAGCCCAGGAGTTCGAGACTAGCCTAGGCAATATAGTGAGACCTCATCTTTACAAAATAAAAATAAAAATAGCCAGGCAAGGTGGTGTAGTTCCAGCTACCAGGGAGGCAGGCTGAAGTGGAAGGATCGAGTTTCCCTAGGACACATCCACCAATGCAAGTGAGGTGCAAAGGACTCCTGCACTCCCTTGGCATGGGCCGAGGCTGTGGTGAGCCATGACCTGCACTACTGCACTCCAGCCTGGGTAATAGAAAAATAAAGAAAAAAAGGGCCGGGCTCGGTGGCTCAGCCTGTAATCCCGCGCCTTTGGGAGGCTGAGGTGAGTGGATTGCCTGAGCCTGCGAGTTCGAGACCTGCCTAGGCAGTGAGACCTCATCTCTATAATAAATCAAAAAATCAGCTGGGCGTGGTAGCGCATGCCTGTAATTCCGGCTACTTGGAAGGCTGAGGCGGAAGGATCGCCGGAGCCCAGCAGGTCGAGGCTGCGGTGGCCGGGAGCGGCCACTGCACTCCAGTCTGGGCAACAGAGTGAGACTCCAACTCAAAAAAAAAAAAAAAAAGAAAAAAAGGAAGGAAGGAAGGAAATGTTCAAAAAGGAAACATCAAAATAAAAAAGGAGAAATGGCCTATCCGTCATCTGATCAGACAATGGCTTCAGCAGAAGCCTCTGTGGGAGTTACCCATCCAGACAGAATGAAGTTCAGGGTGGCCCTGAGGGCTGGCGGTGGCTGGAGATGGCTGCTAGAGTGAAGTGACCCATCAATTCTTGACAAAATGTAGGGCCCCAGGCTTCCGCCCTCTGCCACCTACCAGCAGTTAGGCAGGTTGAGGGTGATGCTGCCTTGGATGTTAGCTCCAAACTGCAGGTACCCCAGACACCCCAGGCTGATGTAGAGGGCAGTTATGATGATCATTCCCCCATACAGGATGAGTGGAAACTTCTGGGGATCCTTCATTTTGTTTTCGAGGGGCAGAACCTATAAGAGGTTTCACGAGAGACAAGAGAAAGCACAGAAAGAAGCCAAATTAGTGGCCAACCAAAAGCCAATATCATCAGAGAAAAGTAACTTCTTTATCCCCAGGTTTCCCCAAAAGCCTATCTGCTCCTTACCAGACAAATGAACAGAAAGAAGTTATTTCATCAGAAGTTACACTGTCAGGACCAGAAGGGACTCCACAGTTACTGCCTCCCAGGAAGTACCAAAAAGTAAGGGTGAGGTTGTGCAGGACACAAGTCCCGCACCCCCAGCCCAGGCCAATTCTGTTCTGCTCAGGATCCCTATGGACTGGGAAGGCCTTTGCCCCTGGCATGGCACAGTTGCACGGCAACCAGAAGGCCTTCTAACATCATGCCCACTTGGCACCTCACCTGAGATCACAGCTTCCTGCTAGCCTGTCTGAAGAATGCAAAAGCTAGGTCAGGGAAAACTGACCTCTACAGGGGCAGGGAAAGACAAGTTAAACCTCCATGTTAGAGGATCTCGAGACCTGGGTACTTTACAAAGTCACTTCCAGACTCCCATTTATTTTTAAATTTTACATTCAGAAGGTACACGTGCAGTTTTGTAGAGTGGGTACACTATGTGATGGTGAGGTATGAACTTCTGTTGAACCCGTCAACCAAAGAGTGAGCATGGTACTGAACGGGTCATCTGTCGACCCTTGTCCCCCTCCTCCCTCTCCCCTTAAGAGTGTCTGTTGTTCTGTCTCTATCAGACTCCCATTTCAAATCAGCAATCTTTACTGTCTCCTTTGGCATAACAGGAGACACTCTCACTTTGGTGAAAGCAAAGGAAAGGCCCCTTATGCCAAGGAGGCCATTAGGAGTGGAAACAGTGGGTGTCACACAGAAGACCTTTGCAGGCTGCCATCAACTGGATCCGGCACGGCCAGCGAGGAAAAGCAACACTGGGCAATGTCTAGCTGCCTGCAAACTCTCTCTGACCTTGTCATCACACTATTTTGCTGCAGCACCTGTGGCCACAAGGGACAACACATCTGTGCTGTGAACATGAATGCTGTGATCCTGCCACAGGCCGGGCTCCCAGGGTGCCCCACCCTGTAATTCCACCTGGCCCTGCACCCCCCACCAGCTCCAGGGGCTCAAATTTCCATTAATCCACACCCACTGGAGACAGCTTCCAAATTCATCCGTCAGTTTCCTGCATATTAGGAGCACGAAGAGACTGGGGGCAGGGTGCCCACCTCCTCCATGTCCTCTCTGGCCTGGGACAGTTGCAGGGACACAGAGTGTATAGTAAATATACGGCGTGCAGCCTGGCATGACCCTGACACACTGAGTACCCTTCAATCCCAAACTAAGAGTCAAGATAGCAGTGTTCTTGCTCTGTTGTAAAAATGGAAAACAAAGAAAGCTTGAAGTAACAGATGATGATGCTTACAGAATGACTTGGTCAATGATCTCTTGGCTAATAAAATGATGCAGAGAACAATTTCTCTACTGTGTTGCTAGGGGAAATGGATAAAAATTTAGTACCATGCCTCTTAAGAGCCCAGGGTCTCTGGGCATCTTTCTATAGTTTTTCAACCCCTTCGTCAAGGCCTGAGTTCTTGGGACATTTTTCTCACTGCTGAAATATGTCGTTCCTCCCCCCTCCTCCCAGCCCGCCCCCCCCAGCAGCAGTGAGTGAAAGAGACAGTCTTGGGCAAGACCCAAGAAGAGCACAGGGAAGGGTTTAAAACCTCAGGACAATCTATGATTTACACACAATCACTCCAAAAGTCTCCCCTTACCCCCAGACCCCCCACCCCGTGATGTCCGAGCCTGAACACATTCCATCAACACACCCATTCCATCCACACCATCTAGGTGATTCCTTGGGATTATGACCAAAAAGCTTCTGGGTTTTCTTAAAAGTACATATGGTGCTAAGGAAATCAAACAGGGAGAAAAAGAAATTCCATGAAAGGAGAAGGGTCTGCCCACAGCCAAGCCCTTGGCCAGGAGAGCTACTAATCTTCTTCAGAGAAGAATTCTGTATCTTTTGTTATGAAAAATGCAAGCACAAATCAAATTAGGTTCAAATGAGTGGCAGATTCCTCTTTAGGAAAAGTTTGGTAAAATCACAGCAAGGATGGAGAGACGCAGGGCCACTCATTCATACATGTAGAAAGCACACCACACCAATGCTCCAGGGCAGAGAAACTATTCAGACATTTATTGATTCAATAATAAAATCAGTAACACTATTAACAAAAATGCATTAAACATTTACCATGAGTCCCACATATCCTTCAATCTGAACAACTACGAGTCAATAGCCCACCTTTCAGGAGCACACAACAGGCTCTGGGAGGTGGGCTTTGCTCAACCTGGGCAGAGCCAGGACTCACCCCAAAGTCACCTGACCCTGGACCCCACATTCCGGACTGTCTGCAGTACTGCTACTGCACACACAGGAGACAAGTATGCAGTGGAGGGGTCTTGAGTGTAAACATTTCAAAACTGCACAAATTTATTTTCAAAAAGTGGAGCTGGGAAACTTCAAGGGAACCCCTGAAACACTATTCACTAACTGGCCAGTAAGACTCAGGGGATAATTTCTAACAGTGGTTCCTTGAAGCAGAACTCAAGGACATCAAGGGATCAGAGAACACAGGCTCAAATCACAGTTCAACTCTTACCATCCCGATGCCCTCAAACGCAAAAATGGCCGTGCCGAAGAAGAGAGGGTATGTCTTCCAGGGGGCCACCAAGGGGAGATGGCTGGGGTCTGGGATCCTCTGAAACAGAGAAAGTAGAACAAAGCAAAAGGCTATACAGAGACTCAAAATTTGAACCCCAAATCAGAAAGGCCACACTTGTTAATAAATCCAAGATTCTCTAGAGAGAGAAAGTCTTGATACCCGACAGATTACTTGGGGAGATTTAGCCTCTATTTTTTCTCTTTCCTACTTGTTTTTGGGAAAGACAAGCCCAATGTACTATAAACAACTCACATGTTGGAGCTTGCATACAAAGAGTCACACTGTTTCAGTAATTAATCCCATCCCAGAAATATAATCCAAGCAGAAAAGAATCAAAAAATGAAAAAAAGTTGAGCAAAGCTACATAACAAAGTGATTGGAAACAACCAACATCCTCCCAAATAAGAGACCAGTTAAGTAATTAACCACACACCAGCTATGCCACAGAATATGATGCAACATTTAAAAAGTAAAAATTTAACTAAGTAAAATGTATAAAACATGAAATACCAGTGAGAAAAAAAGCTTTTGATTTATATATTCACTATGATACAACTACATAAACACCCCACACACAAAGGGAGGGAAGATGGTGGATTTTGCGATTGACTCTTTTCCTTTCTTCTTTTCTTCTTCTTTTTAAAATTTTTTTTTTTTGAGTTGTAGTCTCACTCTGTCGCCCAGGCTGGAGTGCAGTGGCATGCTCACGGCCACCCCAGTGTCGACCTGCTGGGCTCCAGCAATCCTTCCACCTTAGCCTTCCAAGTAGCTGGAACTACAGGTGCGCACTACCACGCCTGGCTAATTTTTTGATTTATTGTAGAGACAAGTTCTTGAGTTGCCCAGGCTGGTCTCGAACCTGTGGGCTCAGGCAATCCACTCACCTTGGACTCCCAAAGTGCTGGGATTACAGGCTGAGCCACTGAGCCCAGCCTGTTTTTAGAACTCTTATCAATGAACTTGAGTACTTGGAAAATATCACAGGAGTGTTGAAACATTTGGAAAAAATAGCAAAAAGAGCATTTTTTTAAAACAGGCAACAACAAAAATAGGCAACTGTTAACTGCAGGAACAACATAAGGCAGTAGAAGCAGGAAGTGTGGTCACAAAATCCTCCACTGAACAACAGTTTCCAGTAACAGACTGGAGAATGAGCAGGATGGGGGGGTAGGGATTCGAAGGCTGCTGTCCTTTTTGAATTTGGTTTTTTAAACCATGCACATACGTTGCTTAGGTTACTATAAGAGTTTATTTTAAAACTGCTTTTTACAATGCTTTAAAATCTATTTAACTATATAGGTATTTAGACAAATATGAGGCATGCTCTAATGGGGTCAGAATAATATCAGGCAAACAAAAGGAGATCTATTATTAATCTCTGTTACAGGCTTCTCTCTGAAAGATTTCAAAGCAACTATAGCCTTTTGAAAAAATTAAAAAATGAGGCCAAGTATGCTGGCTCATGTCTGAGTCCCAACAATTTTGAGAGGCCAAGGCAGGAGGATCACCTGAGTCCAGGAGTTCGAGACCAGCCTGGGCAATACAGCAAGATCCTTTCTCTACAAAAAATTTGAAAATTAGTTAGGCATGGTAGCGCACACCTGTAGACCCAGCTACTGGGGAGACTGAGGCAGGCGGACTGCTTGAGCCCAGGAGATCGAGGCTGCAGCAAGTTATGACTGCACCATGAAATCAGTTAGACTTCTTTATAAGAAGCATTTCAATACCTGAAATGAAGACAGTCTAAGAAGTATTTCTGCTCTACATTGGGAATTGAGTGTGAGACTGCCCGTAATTATTCCTGAGTCACAAATGGAACACAGTTCCTGGGAATAGGTGCTACCTGTCAGTTAGCAGACAAATCTAGCCCAGTTCATATATCAGATCAGGCTGAAGGATCAGATAGGGATTTCACAATGCATGTCTATGGGGGCTGTGGGAATGAGGCCAGCAGAGGAACGTATAATTCTACAGACTTACAGATTGCTGCTGACTTACAACCCAACCAACTAAATGGGAAAGGTTTAATTTACAAAGAAACATACAAACTAAAATTGGCTCATTATCAACATATCTCCTCAATTCTACAATACAGTAAGTCTTCACTTAACGGCATGCAATAAACTGCAACTTTAAGCAAAATGATGTACCATCATTTCCTTCAACGTCATTTTGTTGTAACATTGATAAGAAAAAAACTGATTTCCTTATATATCACTTCACTTAAAGTCGCAGTTTCCAAGAACTGATCAACAACGTTAAGTGAGGACTTATTGTACTGTCAATTCTAATAATAGCAGCTTTGTGAGAAAATGCTGTTAAATGTGCATATCGATTACAAGATGTACTCCAACTGGGGAGTCACTATAACTGTGTAGAAATGCATCCCAGGCTGGGCACAGTGGCTCACGCCTGTAATCCGAGATTAAAAAATTAGCCAGGTGTGGTGGCATGCACCTGTAGTTCCAGCTACTTGGGAGGCTAAGGCAAAAAGGATTGCCTGAGCCCAGGCTGCAGTGAGCCACGACTGTATCTCTGCACTCCAGCCTGGATGACAGAGTGAGACTCCCATCTCAAAAACAAAACAAAGAAACGCAGCTCAGAAGCACAGTGAGTGATAAGATACTGGGAGCCCCTCCAGGCAAGGCACTCTGCCCAGAATGGTGCCATTCGTCCCTCCACACGTGAAGGCATGGGGACACCTAATCAGGTGGAAACCCTGGTCTGCCTCCTAAGATGGCATGTGTTTGAGGAGCAGGAGTATCCGTCACATCCATGCTCAGGGTTAGGGGAAATGTTCAGAAACATTGAACAGTAGAAGAATCCACATGGTAAGTGGGCAAAACACCAAAACAGAACAACAGAAACAAAAAGCAGAGGGCACAGCTTGAAAATGACCTGGATAGAGCACGGCCTGCTGTAGACCACACTGAAATGATACAGTGACCCCACTGTGGGCAGTGACAATGCTGACTCACAGCAAGCCTCCCTCCCATGCTGTACCCAGGCAGGCCGCACTACCTGATCACAGCTTCCGGCTAAGCCAGAGGCAGGCTCAGAACTGCTCTCAAGAAATCAGCAGGGCTGCCTCCATGCACAGACATCCCTCTGAATGTGGGTTGTACTACATGTGGACAGTGCCCTGGATGCGGGTTGCACTACATGCAGACAGTGCTCTGGATGAATACTATCAGTCAGCTGAGACTGAGACGCTACAGGAATCTGAATTCTCATCCCAGCCCTCTGGTCATGGCAACCACCACAGTCCAACTGCATGCCATGGTGTAGAATTCGATGCAGCATGTGTTTCTGTCTATGGGAGGTGGCTTCACCCCATCACTAAACGTCCACTAGAGTGTCCTGGGCACTCTTGAGAGCACTAATTACAAAATGAAATACTGGGTTATTGACCCTTCTTTATGTGATCATGGAAATGATCAATTGTGCGTTCACAGGCCTTTCTTCCAGTCCCTTAAAAAGTGGAACACGGAGAGCTATTTATTTTACGTTTTATAAATAGTACTGCAGAAGAAGAGTCAGTATCTTCCACTTATCTGAGGAAAAAAGTCAGTGCTCACCGAGAACAACGTTAATCTAAATTCATAATGTCATTTCCTTAGCACAGGAAGTTCGCTTTGTATGACCCACTGTTTTCCTGGAAACCACATCAGTGGGTAACTGGGTCACGGGTAAACAGAGCATGTGAAACGAGATAATATTCACTGTCAGACTGAGCAAAGTGTAAAAGACTGATGTGCCCAGTTTTGGCGAGGGCAGAAAAACAGACACGTACTGTGGATGAGAGTCTCAGGAAATTAGGACACAGCTTTCAGAAAAAGCAACTTGGCAATGAAAAGAATCCCAAAGTACATAGTCTTCAGCAATCACACCTCTAGATATGTACCTTTTTTTGTTTGTTTTTTGAGTCGGAGTCACACTTTGTCACGCAGGCTAGAGTGCAGTGGTACACTCAAGGTCACTGCAGCCTCGACCTGCTGGACTCAGGCGATCCTTCTACCTCAGCCTTCCAAGTAGCTGGAACTACAGGTGTGCACCACCACAACTGGCTAATTTTGTGATTTATTGTAGAGACAAGGTCTCGCCATGTTGCTCAGGCTGGTCTCGAATCCCCGGGCTCAGGCAATCTTCTTGCCTTGGCCTCCCAAAGTGCTGGAATTATAGGCATGAGTCACCGCGCCCGGCCTATATACATATCTTAGAGAAGCATGTATACATGTCCACAAGGAGGAACATATAAGAACATTCATTAAAATAATAATACTAAACGTTGGCGCTGACTGGGAACTGGGTAGATAAAGTACAGCACATCTATCTCCATGAGACCATGTCACAATTAGAAAGAAGCAGAGTGGGAATATCAACCTGAAAAGCTCTCTCAGGCATTTTCAAGGTGAAAAAAAGCAAGGTTAGGTGAACACCACATAAAATTTTTTAAAATTATGTTTAAAAAATGAAAAAAACATTTTATTTTATGCATGTCTCTATATACTTAGTGTGTGCATGCATCATAGGATTTAGAATGAGACAGACCAATAGAATCACACAGAGTGGGTCCCTGGGAGGAGCCTGGGGTGGGGCTGTGGTATTCTAGGAGCATTTGTGTTGTCTGTATTATAACTGAATATGTATTGCTATGTTATTTGGGAAATTAAATGTAAATATCTTTATTAAAGTTTTTTTTTTTTTTTGACAGGTTCTCAGTCAGGCTGGAGTGCAGTGGCACGAACCTGGCTCGCTGCAGCCTCGACTTCTTAGACTCCCAAGTAGCTGGTACTACAGACATGTCCAGCTAATTTTTAAAAAATTTTGTAGAGACGAGGTCTCACTTTGTTGGCCAGGCTGGTCTTGAACTCCTGGGCTCGAGTGATCCTCCTGCCTCAGCCTCCCAAAGTGCTGGGATTACAGGCATAAACCACCCTGCCTGGTCCCTTTTTAATGTTTTTTTTTGGATTCCCCTGCTTTCACTCTTTTCCCTTCCTTGAGGCTTGGCCACATGCACTGTCCTTCTCACAGACCTACAGTGTTGAAGCACGTTTTCCTCAGCCTGCCTTCTTCCTGTCTACACTGGATGTTCTCTCACACCACACAACACACCCCACGTGGACTAAGTTGAGGGGGACATATAAAACTGGAGCTGGTCAGGAATTACTGTATCTAAACACAGGTTAGAAAAATTGATTTTTATTTTCATCTTGACATTTCCCCCTACTTCCTTATTGTATATAATAACTACATATTAACCATCTAATTGAAAAAAGTCTAAGCCAGTGATCTCTGGGGTGATTCTGCCCCCAGGGATGTGTGGTCATGTCTAGAGACATTTTTGGTGTCACACCTCGGGGAGTGGTTGCTCTTAGCACCTAACGGGTAGAGACCAGGGATGCTGTGAACATCTGACAAAGCACAGGACAGCCCCACAGCAAATGACTGCCTGGCTCCAGATGTCAACAGTGCTGGGGTTAAGATCCTCTCATCTAAATATGCCATGAGTCACACATAACTGTTTATATCCACTTCCTTGTCTTGCTCCTTGATATATTCCATCGAAGACAGGGGAGGGTCTAGGCTCATACCTGAACAATGAACTGGTAGATCATCACCAGGCTGACCAGCATGCTGATGTTGGCCAACAGGGAGAAGACGGACAGTGCGCGGAGGTTCCGGACGAAAACCAGCAGCACCAGCAAGGGCAGGAAGGCGAGCATGTAGAGCCGCGAGTCCATGGTGGGCGTCAGAATCACCGTCTCGTTGTTGTGGCAGTTGTTGGTGGTCCCGTTGGCCGCTTCTATCACCTAGAATGAGGGGAAGGAAGGAAGAGGAAAAGTCTCCAACGACAAAGGCCAATGGATTCCCTGCTGGAAGAGGGAAGAGGCTCCTGAGGACAGCCTCAGGTGTGGGAACACAGTCTTTCAGTCATCCTGGCCAGTAACAACCCAATGGCCGGAGCTGGGTTGCAGCATATCTACCTCGACAGGAGGATGGCTGGAGGTTTTCTATGTCCTGGGTCTTTTGATGAGAACCAAGCAGAAGACACGGTTCTATGTAAAGTGTTAATACCTTAATCTTTTTGTTGATCAAAACTGATCTGGAAAAAATTCCTGAACAAAAATTTCATTCATCTCTTGCCAGTCTCTCTCTCCCTTTTGTTGTTATTGTTGTTGTTTGTTTGTTTTTTAACAAAGACCAGCCGGGCTCAGTGGCTCAGCCTGTAATCCCACGCTTTGGGAGGCTGAGGTGAGTGGATTGCCTGAACCCGCGGGTTCGAGACCCACCTGGGCAACTTGGCAAGACCTCATCTCTACAATAAATCAAAAAATAAGCCGGGCGTGGTAGCGTACACCTGTAGTTCCAGCTACTTGGAAAGCTGAGGCGGAAGGATCGCCAGAGCCCAGCGGGTTGAGGCTGTGGTGGCCAGGAGCGGCCACTGCACTCCAGTCTGGGCAACAAAGTGAGACTCCAACTCAGAAAAAAAAAAAAACCAAGACCCTACCTGTTTAAAGTTGTCAGCCAGAAACACAAAATAGACACAGCAGAATCCCAGCTGAGTAACAATCAAGAAGAAGTCCACAACGTGCCTGGAGATAGAGCAGGAAGGAATGCAAGATCATTATAGTATCAATACAGGACTCCCAGAAGGACGAGTGGGTTTTGGTTTTGTTTTTTAAAATAGACTTAGGGGGTTCCAGTGCCAACTTATTACATGGATATACTGTGTAGCCATCACCTGAATCATGTACGCTGTACCCAGTAAGTGTTTTAAACAGTGCTTTTCCCCAAGCCACCACAGACCCTACGTAATAAGTGACAAGGAGGGACATGCCCTGGTAAGAGGGAAAACCACACCAGGTGCCCCTGGTCTGGGGCTCAGGGAGGAAGGTGAAGGAGAGGCCATCAGTGGTGTCCAAGTCCCTTTCCTGGCTTCTTGTGTGGGATGTTGATGAGTCGGAAATCCCTGCACGGAGTATGGAGTGTGACATTGCCAGCCCACTTGGCCCACCTCACACCTTTTTTCTAAAGTTATAGGGAACCCTTGACATAAAAGACCAGGAAGTGGACCTTTTCATTGTCTCTCTCTGTAACTTGGATCCAAGAACCAACCTAGTCTCACATAAGGACACGGAGGAAGAGATGCACCGAACAGACTGCTGGTTGGACAACAACAGCCGGTCACAACCTAAAGGGTCATCAGAAGGCAAGTGGTCAAATCATAAACCATTCTTAAATGGAGCATTACACAGCAGTTAAAAAGGATGTGTCAAATCCGTGTGTGCCAGTAGAGAAAAATGTCTAAGACACTTAAGGGGGAAAAGGAAGTTTTCAAACAGTACACATAGTGTGATCAATTCATGCAAAAAATTAAGACTATGTGTATATATACAGAAAATTCCAAAAGGCTACCCATGCAACTGTGACCAGCATTTACTTTTACTTTTCACTTTATTCCCCTCTATCTTATTCCAAAAAAAGTGTTCACTGTGAGCACACATTAAAAGAGCACGCTAATTTTTAAAGGGAGAGAGGTAGGGAGGGAGGGAGGGGAGGGAGGGAAGGACTGATTAACAACCAACCAACCCATAGTGGTCACTTGGCAATCTGGCTTCTCCCAGACATAGAAAATAATTTTTCCAAAAGAATTACATCTGTATCATAGGATGAAGTTGACTATGGATGATGGTAAGTTTCCTTTATAACTACAAAAAGGAGCTTTTCTAGAGAACATAGTTTTAAAAATATATATATATTTTTTTATTTTAAAGATTTTGGGTACAATTCAGGATTAGGTAAACAAGTGAACATATACAGGTAAAGTTTGGGCCTCCCTTTGGTGAGAACATAGTTTTAATATGGTTCAGATTTTTTTTTTAAAAAGAAGGATTCAGTCCTTGATGATATCAATCTTCTATATCTAAATACAGACAACGAACAGTAGAGTATTTCCCTCCAAGCATCTGAAAAGTTACCGTAAGGAGAAATTTCCAAATAGTCCCCACCTCCTAACAGAGTCATCTCCCCCTTTCTCCGCTCCCCTCCCCTCCTTCTGGAAGCCTCCCCTCCCTACCTAGAACAGCTTCGTTCTATTTATAAGCAAATGCTTAAAAATATTTGTTGAACAAATGAGTGAATCAAATATACTCTCTGACCATTGAGTGTCAGAGATGAAATTGGAATGACCCTCAGAGCCCTTTCCAGCCAGGCTCCATGTTTTTCTGATGAGGAAACTGACGCCCAGGGAAGGGAAGGGTGACTCCGCCCAAGGTCACACAGCTTACCAGGGCAGAGCAGAGCTACAGCCCAAGCCCACTGACCAAAGCACTCCAGTCACTCCTCACACTGACTCCTCACGGGACCTCCCTATCTGCAGGCCTCACACTGGGAGGACCCAGCTGAAAGCACAGAGGGAGTCACAAACCTCCCCCAGTGCGCGTGGTTCCGGAGCCAGGAGCAGGGGCTGGATTCTAGTCCATACATCACAGTGTCCCCGTAATCCACAAAAGGCTTGTTAAGTCTGGGAGAAAGGGAGGGAAAGAGAAAGTGCAAGGTATGTGGGTTAGACAATGACAGTGACAGAACAAATGGTACCACTGAGACCCCGACCATTCCCACCTGTCACCCTGGAGGTACCACTTTGAGTCCCACATCTAATCACTTAGGGCTCACAAGTATTCAGTCAACTGGACAGCTACTTTCATTGTCAAAAACAACCACCCACTAGAATCATTTCAATGGGGTAACCTTACAAAGCACACAAAATTAGCATGTGGTATCTGTCCCCTAGGCATAAGGAAACTTAACAGGAGACAATGAGCCCAAAAAGGACACAAAAGTCACCAGGGAAAGTCGCCAGCAGGCATCATCAGCCAGGGTAAAGACGGAGTGCACCAGCTACGTGCTCACTTCCGGGGTTGGTGACAGAACCCAAAAGGACGATGTGCCATTCGAGCAGCAGCATGAGGGCTCTCACCTGCGGCAGAAGTGGTGGGCACACTTCACCAGGATACCCATGCAGTGCACGGCCACGATGCCTATCACCAGCAGGCTGAGGGGACCCATCTGGGGCGGTGTTGCCGACAAAGGAGGGAGAGACAAGCACGCAGAATTAGGAGGGGGCCCTATGGAGACTCGATTTGCAAAGGATTTGAGTACCACTGAGGCATTTTTCAGTGACAAAACTTTGGGCCCAGCATTAGAGGGAGAAGTGTGACTGTGGAGATCAACTCTGCAAGATGGGCACTATCTGAGCTTAAAGCAAGACTGAATCTTGTGGCAAATGAGGACCCACATAAGTCTCTTCCGAGATAGTTGTAAAACAGCAGAACAGAAGGCTCCTGTGACTCTATGGGAAGAAGAGACGGGCAAAGGGACGTGGGGGGAACGGGCAAGCTATCTTTAGAGTGCTGCCAGGTCAAGAAAGACTGCACTAAGCCAAGGACAACCCACATCTCTGAGCTCATCTCCAACTCTAAAAGAAACCAGAATGCTTTCGATAGGCAGTCTACACAAGGTGAAGAATCACACAAAAAACCAAAACCATTAGACTCTCTGAGTTCGCCATTTAGGGACAGGGTGTTGGGGGACTGTATAGAAAGTGGACAGATACCTGTAACCAACTCATTAGTTCATATTGTTATTATTATCATTATTATTAGAAACAGAACCTTTCTCACTCTGTCTCCAGGCTGGAGTGCAGTGGTGCGATCATAGCTCACTGCAACCTTGAACTACTGAGCTAAAGCGATCCTCCTATCTCAGCCTCCTGAGTGCTGGGACTACGGGCACATGCCATGACACCTTTTATTTTTTAGAGATGAGGTCTCGCTATGTTGCCCTGGTTGGTCTTGCACTCCTGGGCTCAATTAATCCTCCTACCTCAGCTTCCCAAAGTGCTAGGATTCTAGGTATGAGCCATACCCAGCCAGTTCCTATTATTGATAGAAACTGCTTGAGTAATTTTAATTCATCTTCTCTACCACAAGGGAAGTGCCACATGGCCGAAAGCTTTGTTCAATTCACTTATTTATTCTGAGAGCCTAGAACAGTGCCTGGCACAGAGAAGCCCTTCAATAAATACCGTTACATAAACCAATGTCTGAATTTGCTTTTTCTTCAGCTGAATTATTTTTAAAAGGCTCCCCATTTAAAATAAAGTAAATTTTTGAAACAAAACAAAAAACTACCTCCTAAAATGTCACAACACTCCCCTGCAGCAAGGCAGACCCTTACCAAGATGCCAGCATTCTTCACGGCCAGAGGCAGCCCCAGGAGGCCTGTGCCAATGTTGCCTTTCAACAGGTGGATCAAGGTCTGGAACCATCTGAAGTGGAAAGACGACGACAAGGGACCGTTAACCACGGTGTCAGCTGACGCTTGCTGAGCATTTGGTGCGGCTTGTGTGTGCTGTCTCATTTGATTTCCACAACAACCCCATAAGATCCATTTTATAAGGACAAAGCAGCTCAAGGTCACACATCTGGTGTAGGGCTGAGCCAGGGTTCAGAGTTGGGTGGCCTGGCTGGGGCTCACCCTCATACCCACTGTGCTGTGAACCTCACCCTCCATGGCGTTTCCAAGAACCCCTCCCTTTGGTTATAGACCAGAGGAACGTGGGGCTCTCTCCAGGCACTCTGCCCCTTCAGAGTCTACTGAGCCTGCTTCTAACCACAGAGCGACCGCTGTAAACACTCAGACCCCAAACTGCAAAGGAGGATGACAGACCCAGCTACCAAGGACAAACACTGGTGTGAAAGAATAAAGAGGAAACAAACCCACATCCTGCAACAGAAAGGTATACGAGGGGGGACCCCCCAAAAAACCCAGAATTGTCTTTTGGAGGGCGGGCCCCTGGTAGTACACTCAGAATTTGTTCCTCCAGATCAAATGGTCAACCAAAGTTTTTATGTGGAAATTGTGAGAAGGTTGCATCACGATCTGCAGAAGAAACATCCTGAGTTGTGGCAAACAGGTGACTGGTTCTTATACCATGACAATGCAGTCACTCATACCATTCTAAGTGTTTGGCCCGGCACCCCAAACAACTTTATTTTGTTGTTTCCCTGGATAAAAAAAAAGTTCTCAAAGGGAAATGTTTTGCCAATGTGGAAGAGATGAAACAAAAAACATCAGAAGCACTAAAAGGCATCAAAATGGATGAGCTCAAAAACTGTTTTGAGCCATGGAAAAAGCGTCTTAATAGGTGTAATGCATCAAACAGCGAGTAGTTTGAAGGTCACCGAAGTTTAAACATGTAAAGTCTAGGGTTTTTGCACCCCCCCCCACCTCCAACCTTGTACACAAAGTGAACAGAGTAAAAGTCATACAATACCACAAGAGGAAAGAGGACGGAAGCCCCTGATGCACTTTGTATTGAAAAGAGAAGAAAGCCGAGTGCTGCAAAGTTCTAGGACTGAAGATACCCTTCCAGACAGTCCCCAAGTTTATCTTTCTGCTGTGAAAGCATTTTTACAGACTGGCCCTGTCACATAGCAACTATAAAGTCTCTCATGTTTCCTCATTCATTCACTCAACAAACACCATCTACCATTATAAAACGTTGCATTCACTGCAGTGGTGAAAATCAGTATGACTCGGGTATAAAACTCAGTTTCTAGAAACTAATAATATCTCAAGGAAAATAAGCAGATGCCTTAATAACCACCAGAGATAGAAAGATCCTCCAGGAACAGAGCGCAGGAAGAAGGCAGATGTGGTTTCATACAGAGGAGAGGCCTGAGCTGAGCCCAGCAGGAAGCGCGGGATCTGTGTGTGTCACTGGGGAAGACACCAAAGGGAAGGGTCTGGAGTGAGGCCCTGGGAGAGAAACGTGGGGCATGACAAGGAGTGGTACTTGGGTTAGTAGCCACTTGAGACAGGTTGAGGGTGGGCAGGGAGTTTTTCTTTTTTCCACACGGAATGGGAACTCAGCAAAGACTGACAGCAGAGAGGTGGTTTTGTAAGTCTTGTATTCGGTATTGTATTTATTTATTTATTTTTAGTGTGTGTGTGTGGGGGGTCTCTCTGTTGCCCAGGCTGGAGTGCAGTGGCATACTCATAGCTTACTGCAAATTCAAACACCTGGGTTCAAGGGATCCTCCTGCCTCAGCCTCCCGAGTAGCTGGGACTCCAGATGTGCACCGCTGTGCCCAGCTAATTTTTCCTTTTCTATAGAGGTAGGGTCTCATTGTGCTGCCCGGGCTGGTCTTAAATTCCTGGCCTCAATTGATCCTCCTGCCCCAGCCTCCCAAAGTGTTGGGATTATAAGTGTGAGCCATCATGCCTGTGCATCTTCAGAATTTTCTATCCTTTGTTACCTCCAGAAGGATAGGAAGTTGGTCAAATACAGTATTCCTTTGCCCCAAGTAACCCAGGATTTGGCTCCTGGCATTGTCTGGAAATTCTTCCATGCAAACAACCTAAATCCCTCAAAACCTATGCTTATACATATTTCTTCAAATCTGCAATTCAGTAGAAACTCAAAGCAAGCAACACTTTTTTGGGGGGGTTAGAGTTTAACTCTGTCACCTAGGTTGGAGTGCAGTGGCATGCTCACGGCCACCACAGCCTCGACTTGCTGGGTTCAGGTGATGCTTCTGCCCCAGTCTTCCAAGTAGCTGGAACTATAAGCACACACCACCATGCCCAGCTAACTGTTTTGATTTATTGTAGAGATGAGGTCTCACCAAATTGCCCAGGCTGATCTCGAACCCCTAGCTTCAGGCAATCCTCTTGCCTCCACCTCCCAAAGTGCTGGGATTACAGGTGTGAGGCCCTGTGCCGCTAATACTTGTTAATCATGAAGGCCATCAATCAGACCTACCTACACCATCTAGGAAGGAATTTTACTTTAACCTTTCCCCTTTTACCTTCAGGAAGGAAATCTCTTACCTTCCCACTGTCCCCAACCTTCTCAGGAAAGATCAGGGAAGCTGCCTAGACTCTGAGTGAGAAGATGGGAAGTGCCCTCCTGGACTGTCCTGGGGGCACAGTTCAAGGCCTGCACGGGGCCAGCAGTGACTCTATGTCAGCAGCCAGTAGATGGGAGATAGCAGGCAGAATAATGGGCCTATCAAATTTAAATCTCGGCAAATGTTTAATCCACTTTTGGGCAAAGGTAAGTGCTATACCAAACCTACCTGCCTACCAGACACCTCCCCAAAATGCCTCTGAACTTGTGTCATGGGAGACCAGGTCCTCTGGGCCAGGCTCTGCTACCACCGCCATAGGACCTGCCTTCTCTGGGCCAGTTGTCTCACCTATGAAGCGAGGACTGGACCAGGATGAGATGATCTCGACGGTCCCTTCGGCTCTAAAAGCCAGGATTATAGGCAATTGACCAGAATGACTCTTTTTAATGAATGGCTCCAAGCTGAGATTGGCCAGTACTGTGTGAGTAGCACAAAATCAACTTCATGGACTGCAAAGTCTTCACTACAAGACTGAACTACCTTTCCAAAAGGGAAGGGACAGTCTAGCAAATCTCCGTGGTTCTAGTCATGCTCTATTTGCAGTTCTTAGACTTGTTGATCTCAGGACCTCTTTCTGGCTGATAAACCATTAAAGACTCCAAATAGCTTTTGTTGATGTGGATGACATCTGCCAATATACACTACATTAAAAATTAAAACTGGTAAGTTTTTAAAATATTTAATTAAAAATAAGTTCATTACATGTTAATATAAATAACATTTTTTTCATGAAAAAGAACTCCATTTTCAAAAAAATTGTGAGAAGAATGGCCCTGTCTTACCTTTTCTCCCCAATCAACTGGAATCACTGCTTTGACATTCAATCTATTGTGAACTAAGGCTTTGCACAGAGCCTAGACGTTGTTTCAGTTAAAGTATATGAAAAAAATTTATTCTCTCATAGACATGAGTTGGGAAAAAGGAGTATTTTAATAGTCTCTTCAGATAGTCGTGTTAATTTTTCTTTGACACTACTCCAAAATGCAGCACGTGACAGTTTCTTAGAAGTTCACTGCAGTGTAAAATCTAAACTTTCCATTCTCAATTACATTAAAATCCATTAGTGATCTTATTCTTTCAATGGCTCTTTTACCCACGCACAACTTCCTAACAACACACTTTGGTCATTTGGAGGTCATGGTTCCCTGAGTTGCGCAGATCTTCCAAATGCTCACATCGTTCACTGCACAATATCAAAAAGTCATGGTCATTAATATCACACCTGGTTTCATCAGAAAAGTCTTCAAGTGAAGGGAAGCTGTCGAGCTCACAGTGCTGGATCCAAGTCTTCATTTTTCCAATTTTTCTTGAAAGCTCAAATTTTATTATGGGCAACAAATACGTACTGTTGTGTGTCTTGAAGTGATGGCTCATTTATTTTCAAGAAAATGTATGCCAAGTACTCAGCTCTGAATAACCTATAGCTTGCTAGCTATTCTTTCTAGTGAAAAGTGTTCTATTGAAAAAAAAAGCAGCAAGTTCAGTTGGCAACTCAAATCATCACTCTGGGTCATGGCCCTGAGGTGAGTGTCACAGTCAGGTACTGAGGAGAAGTGCTTCATGTGTACTTACCATTTGTCACACAGAACATGAAAAGGCCTAAATTGAAGGGCCGTGATTTTAAAATATCAGTAATTTGATTCTCGCATCAAGGACATTCTTGAGCAAAACTGTCTTCTTTCATTGCACAGTGAGAAATACAATGATGACCAGTGTCATCTGGTGCCATGGCTTCGATTCATGCTCTGGCACCTGCAATTTTACTCACCACTGTGTCTGCATTATCAGTGCAAATATCAACAGGTGAAAAGGCAAACAACAATTTGAGATTATTAGCTTCATAGACTTCTTAAAATAGTCCTGGGAACCTCAAATGGTTTGCAGAGCACATTTTGCAAGTAGATACCCCCTATCCCCCAGAGAAAGTCCATTTCAGTCAGCCTGGCAGCCTGGGAAGGAAGCACTGAGGCTGGATCAACAGCTAGTATAACGTAACTTAGAGGGGCAGCACGGAGAAACATTTGCCCAACAGCATCAAACGAGGCTATCTTCACAGCAGTCAACAGATTGGAAACATCAAGGGTTAGGAAATAATCTCACTAAACATATCATCATGGAAGTGTCTGGGATGCCTATTGCACCCTCTAATGAGGGATTTTTACTGAGCCCTTAATTCTAGAAGCCAGGTGTCTGCCTGCATGTGCAGGAGGCCAAGCAGTTCTTCCATGTACTTTGCTCCTTCGAAAACAGGATGGAACAAAGTACAAATAGGAAAAGAACCCAGCTTAACACCTTGTCCCTCACACTTCCTACATAGCAGAGATTCCTTTGGGTTAACGAGGTTCTCCTAATGAACTTACATCTTGATCACACCTGGTGTGTTTTCTACATAAATGCCCCAGGCTGGAGCACTCAACCAACCCTCTAAGTTCCAGTGAAGCACTTTTACCAGTAACACCTGTGACGGGACTGCCATCCTGCCATCACCTGCAGATGGGCGTTCCTGGTCACCTCCTTGTATCATGATAGCAGGGCAGGAAGGAAACCTCAGAACAAAGTATACTCTGGGAAATGTCCCAATACAAGCTCAATGCTCAATTTCTTTCTTTTTTTTTTTTGAGTTGGAGTCTTACTCTGTCACCCAGGCTGCAGTGCAGTGGTACACTCACGGCCACCATAGCCTCAACTTGCTGGACTCAGGCGATCCTTCCGCCTCAGCCTTTCAAGTAGCTGGAACTACAGGCATGCACCACCACACCTGACTAATTTTTCGATTTATTGTAGAAACGAGGTCTCATCAAGTTGCCCAGGCTGGTCTCAAACCCGTGGGCTCAGGCAATCTTCTCACCCTGGCCTCCCAAAGTGCTGGGATTATAGGCGTGAGTCACCTTGCCCATCCCAATGTTCAATTTCTAACCATCAAGGGGAATAAAGTGGGGTTAACCACTTGCTGTAACTCAGTGTGGAAAAGAAACGATATTAGAATAGCTAACAGGCATGCCTCAGCTCCTCTGGCTGGCCTTGAGCTTCAGAGAAGTCTCTACAAAGATGAAAATCCAGACTCCATCTGGCAGGTGTGGCATAGACAAGCTGATGCCTGAGAACAAGTAGCAAAACTGGAAGGGAAACTGCTTAGAGAGAAGCTTGCAAGACGCATTTCACAATCACAAGCGTGGCTTCTGAGGGAAGCTGTCACATGCCACTGTGTGTGGAGCTCCTTATGCCTGGGGTCGCCCGTGGGGTGGATAAGGTTAGTAGGAAGAGGGGAGGAGGGATTCATACCATAGCCAGCTCTGCTCTGAGCAACTGTTCCCGTCAGTTACAACTGCAAGCGAATGGGAAATCTACAAAAGCATGTCACGGGAGAGAAAAGCTACAGAGATGGAATCTTCATGAGGAGAAATCAGCTGGTGATGGTGAGGAACCGCTCACCAACAGAAAATGCCCCACACTAGCAGAGACTGTGGGAGGGTGAGCTTCACCAGCGATGGGCTCCAAGAGACGCTTCCAGGGTCCCCTTGGGCAATCACAGGAAGTCTAGGACATGAAAGATCCCTCAGTAAGTCATCTCCAACCCACAAGGGAACACAGAAAGAGGGATGGCTGAGCCTGAGGAATAAACAGAAGAGCTGCAAAGCTGGGACACAGAGGTTTTCTGGATGCCAGAGATCTGCTGAGCTTGGGTGGCCTAGAAACTCAATGGAAAAGACAACCTTCCTCTGAAGTTCCTAATTCCAGTGAAGAAAATCATACGGCCAGCACAGCTGCACAGTGAGAATCTCAATTTTTATTTACATTTGGGGAAACTGAGGCCCAAAGAGGCCCAAACACAGTCCGGATGAGTCTTGGGTTTCTGTTTCCAGGGACAAGACTTAAGCCCTCCTTGGAGAATGCAAAGTGATCTCCTCTTTTCTACCAACCCCTGGATTTTTTAAGTGCAGAAGTTATTCTCCTTGTTCCTATTTCTTCAGCCAAATGGACTGGTGACTTGGTGACAGAAGCGGAAGTCTAGAGGAGACTGCAAAGGAGGCTTCTGAAGGGGCTTGGAGATTATTTGAGGTTCTAGCACCAATGCCATGTGCTTCTAAACTAAGAGAATGTCCTCTCTGGACGCTTAAGTCCAAGCTCTTACTTGGCACCAGCCTTGTGGGACCAACATGGCTGAAAGGAACAAAGAATAAGAAGCAGACTGGAGAGTGGGAGGCCAGGAGGGTCAGTGCCAGCGTGGTCACTGCCCAGGCTCCTTATTCCTCACCTTCATCTGTAAAGGGGGCAAATGATGAAATGGGGAGGAAAAATGTCTAAGGGAGACTTAGGAACATGCAACCCAGGCAGGAGGGCAAAAGGTGACAACTACTTACGTTGTGCTGTTACTTTCCCCAAAGCGCTGGTAGGAGCCCGGGGAGGAGAGGTTGTTGAGGCCTTCTGACGGGCTCTCCTCTGGGCTCACATCAGTGGAGCTGTAGTCGTGATAGTCTTCATTCCGAAGTCTCTGCGTGGACATGGCAGCTGGAGGGACAGGACCAGCATTAAGACATCCCATAGCTGGAGCCTTAAGCTCCACGTCTGGGATGGGTTCTGGGGCAGAGGCAGTCATTGTCACAGTTGCTCACTGTGACAGCTGCACTATGGATTAAGTATGAGAGTGCCTGGTACCAAGGGAAATGAAAAAGTACAAAGTACACAGGGGCGGACTAAGCTCTCTTGGCTTCTGCCTCCCAACCACCACCCCCGCCCGCAGTTGATGCCATACTCATAAATTTCTAAATTTGTCAAAGCAGATGTAGACAAAGCCAAGGTGAGGCACCGCTTGGGAAGAGTGGGTGAAAATGCAGAGAAGTGCTTCCTGGAAGCACTCCCCATTCCTTAGGTCAGAATTATTGACTCCTTCCTCTGAGCTCATTTATGGGACCTTGAACAATAGTTAAATTGTATATATGCCCATCTTTCTCAGGAGCAAGCTCTCAGAGGAAGGGAATCTGGCTGTTTTTTGTTGTATCTTCTTTTTCCTCTGCCTTCATTGAGAGCCCTGTTACAATCAAGAAATCCCTTCCAGGTCATTCCATTCTGCTCAAACTCCCCACCAGCTCCTAGAGCAACAAATGAAATTCTCCTTTTTGCCATGACCTCAGACCTATCTTATACTCTTTGGAGGCCACTGATAACTCTTATCCCCTGTCCTGGGACTCTTTTCTTACTACCAACCTGAGTATTGAGAAACTGTAGCTGAAAGCAGCTCAGAGGAAGACCAGGAGCATCACGGATACTCACACCTGGCCTTTCTCAACATCTCCCCTCCGAAACTCTTCTCCTTTTTATTTTTACAAGTTTGCTCATTTTTAAAAGATGGTGAGACAATCAAGTGGGTTTCAGTCCAAGGATACAAGAATGGTTCAACATATGCAATTCACCACAGACAGAATTAAGAACAAAAATCATATGGTCAATTCAATAGATGCAGAAAAAGTATTTGATAAAGTCCATCATCCCTTCATGATAAAAACCTTGAACAAACTAGGCATCAAAGGAAAATATTTCAAAATAATAAAAACCACTTATGATAAAACCACAGCTAACATCATACTGAATAGGGAAAAATTGAAGCATTCCTCTTAAGAACTGGAACAAGATAAAGATGCCCACTTTCATCCTCCTGTTCAACATAGTCCTGAAAATTGTAGCCAGAGCAATCAGGCAAGAGAAAGAAATAAAAGCTATTCAAATTGGAAAAGTAGAAGTCAAATTATCTCTGTTCACTGATGAAAAGATCTTATACCTCGAAAATGCTAAAGATTCCTCCAAAAGACTCCTGGACTTGATAAACGACTTCAGTAAAAATACAAATCAATGTACAAAAATCAGTAGTAGCATTTCTATACACCAGTAATGCTCAAGCTGAGAACCAAATCAAGAACACAATCACATTTATGATAGCCACAAAAAAATTAAAATACCTAGAAATACATTTAACCAAGGAGAAGAAAGATCTCTACAAGGATAACTACAAAACACTGATAAAGGAAAGTGTAGATGACACAACAAATGGAAAAATATTCCATGTCCATGGATCAGAAGAATCAATACCATGAACAAGACCATACTGCCCAAAGAAATCTACAGAGTCAATGCAATCCCTATCAAATTACCAATGCCATTTTTCATAGAATTAGAAAAACAATCCTAAAATTCAAAAGGAACTAAAAAAGAGCCAGAATAGCCAAAGTAGTCCTAAGTAAAAAACACAAAGCTAGAAACATCACATTACCTGACTTCAAATTATACAAGGCTATAGTAACCAAAACAGCATGTTACTGGTATAAGTTACACAGATCAATGAAACAGAATGGAGAACCCAGAAATAAAGTCATCTACCTACGATCAACTAATCTTTGACAAAGTCAACAAAAATATACACTGGGGAAAGGACACCCTATTTGATAATTGGTGCTGGGAAAAGCGGCTTACCATATGCAGAAGAATGAAACTGGACCCCCAACTGTCACCATATAAAAAAATTAACTCAAAATGAATTAAAGACTTCAATGTAAGACCAAAAACTATAAAAATCCTAGGAGAAGAAAACCTGGAAAAAAAACCCTTTGTATTTCAACCTAGGCAAAGAATTTATGACTAAGACCTCAAAAGCAAATTCAACCAAAACAAAAAATAGAAAAATGGGACTTAATTAAACTTAAAAGCTTCTGCAGAGCAAATGAAATAATCAGTAAAGTAAACAGACAACCTACAGAATGGGAGAAAATATTTGCAAACTATGTATCCAACAAAGGACTAATATCCAGAATCTGTGAGTAACTCAACAATTCAATAAGAAAAAAAAAAAACACATTAAAACAGGGACAAAGGACATGAACAGACATCTTTTTTTTTTCAAATTTTAAAGATGTAGGGTACAATTCAGGATGAGGTATACAAGTAGTCATTGTACAGGTAAAGTTTGGGCCTTCCATTGGTCTATCCTCAATTCGCCTGGTTTGAGATCAGGTACGCTTATTGATGTTATGTGCCCCTTTCCCTCCTCTGGCAGTGTCCCACTATTGCCAGTCCCTTTCTTATAGTATTATGGTAAATGTTCAGGGCCTACTTATGAGTGAGAACATGTGGTACTCGGTTCTTTGTTTCTGTGATAGATCACTAAGTATGATAGACTAAATCCATCCAAGTTGCTGCAAAGTCCATATGTTTGTCCTACTTTATGACTGTGTACTATTCCATCGTGTATATGAACAGATATGTCTTAAAAGATGACATACAAGCAGCCAACAAACATGAAAAAAGGTGCAACATCACAAACCATCAGAGAAATGCAAATTAAAATCACAATGAGATACCATCTCACACCAATCAGAATGACTACTATTCAAAGGTCAAAAAACAACAGATGCTGGGGATGATGTGGAGAAAAAGGATGTTGGTAGGGATGTAAATGAGTTCAACCTCTATGGAAAACAGTATAAAAATTTCTCAAAGAACAACCATTTTACCTCGCAATCCCACTACTGGGTATACAAAGGAAAAGAAATCATTATATCAAAAAGACACCTGCACTCATATATTTATCACAGCACTATTCACAAGAGCAAAATCATGGAACCAACCTAAGTGTCCATCAACAGATGAGTAAATAAAGAAAATGCGATATTAATACACCATGGAATACTGTACAGCCATAAAAAAGGAAATCATGTCTTTTGCAGCAACATGGATGGAGCCAAAGGCCATTATCCTAAATGAAATGACTCAGAGACAGAAAATCAAATACCACATGCTCCCACTTATAGGTAGGAGGTAAACAATGGGTACACATGGACATACAGAGGAAAATAATAGATATTGAGGACTCCAAAAGGGGGGTAGGTATAAGGGGATGAGGGTTGAAAAATTACCTATTCAGTACAATGTTCACTATTCGAGTATAAGAACCCAGAAGCCCAAACCTCACCTTCACGCAATATATCCATGTAACAAACCTGCATATGTACATCCTGAATCTATAAAAATTAAAATAAATTAAGTTAAAAAAAAAAAGACAGCGAGAAAAGAAGTTCTTCCTGCTGGGTGATGGTGAAGGTGGTGTCCCCTGGGTAGCCTTTCTCAGGAAGCCCTACCACAAAAGGGCTTTTTTTTTTTTTTTTTTTTTGAGTCAGAGTCTCACTCCATCGCCCAGACTGGAGTGCAGTGGCATGCTCACGGCCACCACAACCTCGACCTGCTGGGTTCAGGTGATCCTTCCACCTCAGCCTTCCAAGTAGCTGGAACTACAGGCATGTGCCACCACGCTCGGCTAATTTTTTGATTTATTGTAGAGATGAGGTCTTGCCAAGTTACCCAGGCTGGTCTCGAACCCGTGGTCTCAGGCAATCCTCTCACTTCGGCCTCCCAAAGTGCTGGGACTTTAAGTGTGAGTCACGTGCCCAGCCTCAAAAGGGTTTCTTTAAAATATACAGTAAGGATACATTTTGGGAGTTGTGTCAGCCCCTTGAATCCTAGAGAACTCTGTTAAAAGAGACTTCGCTTTAAGCTCCTCATTTTACAGATAAAGAATTGACCCCCAAAGATGAGGTGACCTGTCCTGCTACGCCTCGGCAGCAGCAAAGCAGAAAACATGTCTCCTGATGCCCTAATCTGGAAACATCTACGCAATGCAGTGCCAGTTGCTACGAGGGAGTATTGCATTACAATGAAAGAGTCAACTTCCTGACCTTCAAGGATCTGCAATCAAGTGGGGGGAAAAGGTATATTAAACGTTACAAATAACACACAAAAATCTCGACACTAGGCAGACTGGCATTGCTGCCTGCCTGCAAGGACTCCTCCAGCAATAGCTGGACGCCCACCCTGAGTGTGAGGTGCTCTCAGATACCTCGTGAGGAGACAGGCTCTCCAACTGCCTCCGCAACACCCCACCCGCCCAAGACCTAAGATCAGCGCCAGAGGAGGACACGCAGCCCAGGGCTCCCCTCAGGTCCACTCCCAGTTCAGGCCTCCTGGAAACCGGCACCAGAGTGATCCAGGTGAGATCCCATTTTCTCCCAGGACCTGGGCCATCTCACAAGGAAAGTGCTGGGCGGAAAGCCAGTAAAGACCTAGGAACCCCAGGGAGGAGCCCACCTCCTTCACTGCCAGAGTCACTTGGCTAAAAATTCTCACACTTCATTACTCACAAGCTAGAGGAACCCCAGGACGCCACCCAGCTCTGGGACACCTGCACTCACTGAAGGACCAGGGAAAAATCTATGAAGTGTCTTCACAGCAGCAGTTGGAAACCTTGCCATGCAGACGGAAGAACGACTTGGTAAGTGAGTTTACAGGCATGGCAGAGATCTGGGTGCTAGGCCTGTCTCCATCACCAGCTTACTTAGTGGTTTTGAACAATGTTATTTATTCTTAGCTTCCAAATGTGCAAAAGCGGGGGAGGGGGGAGGGGGCAGGGACTAAAATACCTCTCAGTTCCCCTCTAGCACCTACATTCTAGGAATCAACTAATGTAA